CTGTAACATATAAGTACTACGAAATTTAAAACAAACGAATAAACCAAAACATGACATATTTGTTTGTTTGGATCATTCTACTGGAAATTTATGGACTAAGATATACGTATGAAACATTATTATATTACTTTGCAAGTTATAATCGCATTATATCGTCTACATCAATGCAATTTTGATTTATAATTCATTTGAAAATTTAACTATTGTTTTTGGATTTGTCATTTAATCAATTAAATTGCATTTAGCTTTAAATTATTCAATTTTAAATTTTTGTAAGTTTTTAAGTATAAAAGATATTTAGAGGGCATTAAAAATTAAATGACACTGGCATCATGATATCTAACAAATTGTGATTCCTCGATTTATTAAATTAAATTTGTATTTTAAGAACCAAGTTATAGTTATATCAAATTTTTATCATTTTACTTAATAAATTTAATCATTTTACTAAACAATTAATGACAGAAAGTACATTTAGATTGTATAAAATATATTTTATTATATTTATAGCTAACTTCCAAATTACTATAAGTGTATGTTATATTGTGTGTTACCAAAATACTAATAATATTTTGTGCAAATCTGTACCTTTTTGTTTGTATTTATTTCGTTCAAAGATATATGCGCGTTATAGTTTATTTTAAATAGAAATTATTTTTAAAATAATTTAAATGTTAAGGCTAGGTTATTTTAAAATATACACGATAGCTTATGGTATTTTACTTACCTTCAACTTAAGAAATGTATTTTTTTCATAGATACAAGATAAAATATATAAGAAACAAACTTAAAAAAATATTAATAAGATTCCTACTAATAAATATTTAATTTTTACGCATTATAGTTATGTCATACTTTGACGTTTTAGGTATCATGGTAATAAATATAATGAAATGTATCATCATTAAATAAATAGTTAATACTTTTAGACTATAAGTCTGAAGACAATATATAGGTAGTACTAGAAATATTGTTATTTTAATTTTATTCTTTAGTTTTTAACTTTACCCACATTTTTACAAAATCGTCCTACTGTTTGTAAAATAGATATTTAATAATAATATACATGTAATTAATCATCTTATATCTATTATAGTTTTAATAAAAGCTTTAATTATAATAATATTTAAGTAGGTATAATATTCTAATGTTAAAAAAGTCTCAATATATTAGTATACTAAATTTATGATTGGTTTAAAGCGTAAAATAATTGATTGAAAAAAATATATAAAATAATAAAGTAAAAAAAAAACGGCCATGTTTCAAAAAGTATTACCATTGAATCAATTTAACTGTTTTCTTACAATGAACATTGTATTAAAGGTATTCAAAATCTTCAAGCTCTCAAATAAATTCTTCGAAATGGTTGCTGTTTATTTTTTGTTTGAAAATCTAACGAGAATTTTATTTTTATCGAATTATGTGTTCCAGAAGAATACATTCCAATCTACTTAATTATATCAAAATAAAAGACTAAATAATTTCGACCGATTAGCTATTGAAACATGAAATACAGGAACAAAATAGTGATGGTATTTACCCACTAATAAATCATATTATTAATTATTCAATAAAAAATATTGTTGATTATCGTTCTATTAGAAAAAAAATTTACATATTAAAAACTAGATAATAAAAATCAATATTTATAAGTATGGCCATAGTAAATTGACTTTTATCATCGTTATGGTTGTAATAGTGATGTTTTGTATTGATGTATACAAAAATGATATAATATTAAATGCATTATTTTTTGATAAATAAATGGTTTATTTTAATCTGTGCATTTTTGGGTTATTAATAAATGTTATTATAAATAAAATATGAATCTATCTAACGTCATTGATTACACAATGTTGGTGTTTTTTTTTGGTATTAATATTTGATTATTGGAGCTGTAAAAATATCCATTATGCGTTGGTGGTTCAACCAACTTATTAAATACAAAACTGAGGTATTCTGAAAATTTTATGGCAAAACTTTAGCTATTATTTCAAAGTTTAATTGATTCAATATATCTAAGTATGTTTTCCTAATTATATCATCTGCAGGTTTTCCGCGAATGTTGTTTATTGCGATCAAGTAATTCCCAATGTTTTACAATGAGTTTTACATTACTACAATGATATTATAGGTATTAGGTGAAATCTTATAATTTTACTATGTTTTTATTTCAGCTTATTTATTTTGATTTTAGATTCACTCTATTCAAACTATTTTAATATTAACTGTATTATAATTTACATTCTGTTATAGTATTTCAATAATTAATAAACAGTTGTATTTTTTTTTATTGTTTATGACAATAAATTATATCGAACAGTTAACGTATTAATTATGATTTTTTGTTATATATTGTTGGAATATTAACTATCTGTACATTCTACGAAATGAATAAAATTGTAAGTATGAGGTATAATTTTTCAGTTTCGAAGAAAATATTATCTTCCAATTATTTACTTTTAAATAATACCAAACACCAAACATTATTGTTCAATTTATAATTTTGAATAGGTATCATTATAAATAATCACAGCATTAAAAATCATGAAATTAATGAATACAACACGTTATATATTGCTTAAAATAAAAAAAGTCTTAAAAGACTAACATTTTGATCATATGGATCGCACTCTCAAAATGTTATCATCTCTATGTACCAATAAACATTGAATCATTTACAAGTATGTCAATAATAATCATTTTGGTAAAAAACTACGTAGCGTAATAATATATTGATATCATAGTGCACGTTGTGTTTTATCTCAATATGTAGTAAGTTCAATTAAAAAAATTGATTTTTGTGTTGGTCTAGAACTTTTTTTGTGTTTTGGAATGATATGATTCTTACCATTTCCAAATGTTCAATATAAATACTGCGTTAATAACAAATAAATTAGTTTATGTGCTCAAAATACAGACACTTTGAGTTATTTTGTACGTTTTATTTTTTTTTCCTTGGATTTCTACACATGTTGGGAACTACTCTACGTGGTTTTTCGTTCACTTTTATTTTTAATAAAACAAATATACCTTTACTGTTCAGCTATGAAAAAAAATACCCAAACACATATTAGTTCTCGTGGGAATATATTTGTCATCTTTGAGAAAAAATAAATTAGAAAAATGCTATTAAGGCAATATTTTGTTTTTACTTTAAAGTACCTGCAATACATAACTAAAAATGTGTATTAAATGTAGGTATTTATATATATATATATACATTTTTTTTGGTAATAATACATATAAATGAGAGAAAAAATTACCTCTACAGCCTACCCAACTATTTATTTTAAAATATAGCTTTAAGTTCTTAAATTAGAACTTTAAATTGTTTCAAACAAATTTCTTATACTTATAATAAATTATTCATTATAATTAGTTTTTTATTCACATTGACAACATTTATTGTTGTGAAAAATAAAATAATAAAAAGAAACTACACTTAAGTTTAAAACCTATTAATTTATATATAATTACAATAGTTTTTTTTTTTTTGTAAATCCATGAAGTTAAAAATGTATTGAAAAAATTATATTTTGAAATTTTACTTTATTTTCAAATATATATAGGTACTATAGGAATCACCGACTCTAAAATATATGATACAACACAAATATTTTTCAAAACAGCATTAGAACATGATTTGACATAAGTAATATTAATATGAACGTAAAAAAGATCATATTTTTATATTATAAATGTTTAATTTTAAGCAGTTCTAGAAGTTTTTATTTAAGAAATTAAAACATTTAAAATTATTTAAATAATTTGGCACAAAACTATACATTCTAAAGGTATTGAAAAATAATAACAGTAGGCTTACAGAGAAAATGTAGTATCAACAGTTAAATACTAAAATAAATAAAATTAGCATGTTTTATTAATAATAAACTATATTTTTGAAAACATTGAGGTGCATACGCCTGATCAGGGCAATAGGGTCTGAATTAAAACAGAGCTTCTTGATTTTTGGTTGTGCTTCATAACAGTCAACCGTTTCTCGCTATTTAATGAGTCACTGTACATAATAGTAAAAAATGTATTTAACTCAATAAAACAACTTTAAGTAGAGTTTTAGTGTTAAATTATACATTTAGTATTATTTATAAATGTGTAAAATTCTTGATTTGTAAAATATCTATCAAAAGCCAAAATAGCAAAAAATAAAAAATAAAAATAAAAATATTGAACATTTTAATACCGTAAAATAATTCATGTACTAAATAATTTTATACTCAGTATAGTAGTGTACATTTCAAAATGTTAGAATCATTAATTTTCAGAATGGTAAAGCAATCAAAGCTGGAATTAGAAAAAAATGTTTTCCAATGCTTTTATCGTTTTATCGTATTTTTCGACAATTTTTATTTGTGTAATTTTAGATCGATAGAAAATTGTGTTTTTATTGTTAAATAAAATGTTTATGCAACAAATATTTTAAATAATTTTCCCATTAAAATATTTAATGTAAAAATAAAAATAAATATATCTTTAGATGTAAAAGATTAAAATCTAGGAAATCTGTTAATAATATTAAAACGTTGGCTGATTTACAGTAATTTTTTATAGTAATATATACCTAGTTATAGGTACCTACCGTTAAAATTTTATGTTTAGGTAGTGTACTTTTAGATATATAGTTAACGGTGTGTGTACATGAACAAAACGTATTTGTCAATAGTACAATAAAAAAACGTTTTATAAACAAATAAAAAATATAATAATAATTCAATTGTAAATGTTTACAACGTGGTGATTATCGTGAGCTATACGGTAATAAATAAAGAAACGTTTTAAAAATGTTAAACTTTAAGATACTTGTAGGTTTGATTTATTATACTCAGAAAAAAATCAATTCAACAGACTGGTAAAAAGTAATGGTAGGCTATATTTATAGTATTTATAAATCGGTAATCCCTGACATGTTCTAAAACAACGATGATATGCTTTATAAAGGTTCGTTATTGATTTATTATTTTAATTTTTATATACATTACCCATATTGTGTCTTCTTCAAAAAAGCAACTCGTGCTGCAAGTTCTTTTACCCGATCTTGATCCAGTCCGCATTTTTTTATCATCGAAATACCATAAACTGCCAAAGTTTCTAACCATTGTAGCAAAGTTTCGTCACTGTTAACAAATTATTATTAAACTTTCACTATGGATCAACATAGGTAATAAATAATAATACATAGTTTGAAGGAAAAACATATTTGATCACTAATATTTCAGTTATGCGTAAGAAAATAATGTATATGACTGTACAAATATACTCTTACAGAAACTATTTCGTACGAATTTGTAAATTTACATAAATCTGTATAACTAAAATGTGTTGATAGATAAATAGTTAATATTAGTAGAATGTTATTTTGTTGTTGAAATATGTGAGTTATATGTTATAACAATTAAAGCTTTTTAGCATTTAATACATGTTTTATATCTAAAATACTCCTTTTATTAAATAAACTATGAAAAGTTACAGGGTTTATCAATAAATAAATAATAATATAATATTGTCCATTATCAAGAATAAAAATTATATTAAATATTAATAAATAAATATTGGTTCAACGATAAAAAGGTATTATTTACCTATTACATTTCTTTTATTTGTTTATAAGTAATGATGAACTATTTACTTTAGTTTAATTTAAAATTTCATTATAAATTCAAAGTATAAAACAAAATTATTTATGAGAGCTTTACTGTAATTTCTATTTTTATCTTTGATTTAAAAATTGTAATTATTGAAATAATGTTAAAGAAATAAAAGTTTTTCGTGATAAATAAGAAAAACAACAACTATGTAATAACTGTACAGTTTATAGGGTAATAATTTTACATTATTTTCATTTTTAAACTTAATGAGAATTAATGTTAAACAAATGCTATTATTAGATAATTTTTTTTTAACTTATTGAATACAAAAAAGTCGAAAAATTCAACTTATATATTTAAATTTAAATAATAGGTATTAGATGTGAGATATTAAAAAAATCGTTAAATTAAAAAAATAATTGGAAATTGCCCTGATAAGATTAAAATAAAAATTCAAATAGATGTTGACTCAAGTTGTTGTCTAATTGATTTATAACTAGTTATTCGACGAAGAATTTTATAAGGTATCATGTTAAACTATATTCTTATTTTTCGTTTAAAAATAATAAAAAATGTATGCTAATCAAATAATAAGCGAGTAGTCTAGGTGGAGTGCACTTTATAATAGGCTGAAACGATAAACGGTACACCGAAATGAGCTGTCTCTGGATACCAAGTCATATCGTTTAACTCAATAAAACTATACGCATACAGAAATCCGTTAGTCAGCGAAAACCATAGCATTATAATACGACGGTCCACATAAATGTGATGATTTTCAAGATTTTACTATTTGTTTAGAAATCAAGAAAAGATCTCGAGAGTATAAAACTTTGAATGAGAATAAATCTTAACATTGCGGTATATGCAATATATTAAAATAATTGTGTTGTTTGATTTTATGTAGATAATTATCCTGCTAACGAAATATTGGTAAAATGTATTTTTTTCTATGGATTGTATATATGATAACTATAGATAAGTTAATAATAAGAAAAATATTTTTCTGTTAGTTCAGATTCAATTGAATGCTAATATATATTTGCAAATATAATTGAACGTTCAGTTTAAGCCTCGTATGGATTTGTATAAAATGTTGTATGTACAATGTATTTATATCAATAAAAATAACTTTTGTGTCGTAATATAACAAAAATACAGTAGTTTAGTAATTAAACAAAATTTATTGTATTATTTAAATTAAAGGTTTATTTATTATTTGTAACTATAATTATATATATATATATATATAATAATCTGAAAAAAGAAATGTATTGACTAAGTTTAATAATTTGTTTAAGAAAATTTAAATTGTTTTAAACACTTTTTCTATTGCATATATAATGTAAATCGATAATCTCATCATATTATTAAAAATAAAATAATACTATGAATATGATAAATGGTTATTGATTTTGTTCAATCAAGAATTGCTTAGGTGTAATAACAAAAACAGCAAAAATTCAATAATATATTCAGTCTAAAAAAATTATAATCAAACATAATAGCTGAATAACTTACTGTACTATACACTGATAAAACTAAAGAAAATAAGTGTCCTTAATAATAGAGTAATATAAAAATAGTGTTGTATTTTAAATATTAGTTTTTATTATTTAATTATTTATTTTCTATAATTCTAGCACATTTTTTAATTTTAATTTTTGAATTTAGTAATTGAAATATCAAAAATTGAATTCTATACAAGCACAGATTAACTTTTCTTTTATTATATTGATAATAAGTGTTTTTATTTTGAAACTACTCAATAAGCCATGTTATTGGAAATACAAAAATTGTTATTGGATTTTTTCAGACTATTGATATCCTTTAATTCGAAAATGCCGACATCTGTTAGTGACAGGTAGATAGCCAATAAAATTAGTGCCTTAAGCGATTTCAAATTTACTTTTTAATTTTTGAAGTATGCAACTATTTCTTTTTATGTTCTAAACTATGATTTTGATATAATTTAATGTTTTGATTGCATTTTTTGTTATTTAGAAAATATGAATATAAGTATGTATATTGCAATTATATTTTTAGCAATTAATACGAACAGAACATATTAGCTTGATTTAGATTATGTTTAACTTTATAAATCCTTTTATAATGTAAATATGATTTAAATTATTTATATTATGATAATAAATTGAATTTAGATTAGTACTAACAGTTACTGTTGACATTTAAAATATGGCTTATAAGATATTGTAACAAACAAATCTATTTATAATTTGTAAATTTAATTGTATGTACAATATTTTTATTGTGATTTAGGAGTACATTATTATTTTTCTTATTAAGTAAAAATAGTTCGAGGGTCTTCGTAACCGTACATTTTCAAACAGAGGTTTTTGTTAAAACCTTATATTACACTTTTATTCATTAATTCCTTATAATTGTCTTAAAATCTAACCGTTCAATATCACTCACACTGGTATGTATTAATAATGCACATATTTACCTAAAATCAAATGATTGTTTCAAAAGTCGCACCAGTTACCATATTTAATCTAAATTACATATTCCTAAGTATTTAAATTAATTAAATAAAATATTTAAAACGCTGAATGTTTATTTATTCCAATCTAAACATTATCATCTACTATGTATAATTTCTTCTATCTTATTACATATTAGATTATTTTTTGATGATTTGTTTTATAACAATAAATGTTTAATTTTTAACCGTCATTTAAATAAGTGCGGTTTTGAACTATCTACCTTCCAAATTTTTCTAATAATAATAGAAAAAATTGCGTGGTATTGAACGATCTAAAAAGTATTATAATGAATTTGTAGGTGTGCGGTTTTCAACGAAATCTTATTGTTTAATTGACAATAAACTTAATTACAATAATGTAATGCAATAATCATTGTTCTGCGTTTATCTAACACTAATTGATTACCTATTTAAACTATTGAGATAACTTTGATACCTGCAATTTATTCTTCGTTCTCACATTGTGATTTTAAATTGTTGGTAATAAAATAAATTTCTAAATAAATTTTGATTTGAGATATTTTTAAATCTACATTTTAATTTTAGTTTATTTAATAATTATTTTTGATGATAAATGATATAGTAGTCTTAAATAGGTAAATAAATAATACAAGTGATAGATATAACCTTTTGATTACGTCCTCATATTCAAATGACCGAAATATAGCTGAAAACGATTCCGCAGTCCATTTGACTTGCTGATTGTTGTGGTGTTCTTGACCCTCATTAAAATTTCTCTCTAGTAGCCATTGTAAGTCGTAAGTACTCTCGTGGCTGTCATCCCATTTCACATAAAGCTTATCATTGCTTATAATCTGAAAAGAGAAATAGTGTACATATTATTTATATTTTACGCTGTACCAAATGAGGACAACTGAATTACTATTCATTTAGTATTTACTGTAATATTATGTATCTAATTTATACATATAAATGTCAGTGGTATAAACGTATATAACCATAACATAGGTATAATAAAAATATAAGCAAAACACATTATAGTATAATGTGTACTTTTAAGTATTTTCACTTGAAAAACAAAGTTACTTTTTAACGTACTTATCTGTTTAACGTTATGCAATTATCTATTTAGTTATAGTCCAGTTAGATCATGCGTATGTTAGATTAAGTTTTATATAAATTATTTTATTTCTTCGTGTCTGCAACGTTAAGAGTAGATATCGTTGAGTATTGCAAAAGCAACTGAATATATTATACATTGTACTTGTGACGTTTTAATTGAAAAAGACTTCGCAATGAGAAAACCTTTCAGATAAAAATTTACTTCCTTTCGTTATTTAATTATTGATTATATAAAATGTTTTTTTTTTACGAATATTTTAAGTTTAAATGTTTTTGAAATTGTTTATTTTACATAAAATTAGTTATTTTGTTGTAAATAAAAAAAATATTATTAGTTTGCACTTGATTTTTTCGTTTATATTTAAATTAATTTTTACTATTTTTAATGCTATTTAAAAGTGATATTTAGATGAACTTTGTGTGTATAAATTTTAAGATTTCCAATTTTTTAGATTTTATATGATTTTCTTATATTATACACTCCTGTATCTATACATTATATCATTGTACTTTGTTGGATGTTTAATGAAAGCTCATTATAATCTTAAGTTACGGCCATTATAAGTTAAAGATAATAGTATCATTAAATTACTTTTTGTTTCTTCTGTAATTGAAAATATTAATTATATTATGTTATACTGTTCATTCCTATATTTTATAATTGCCTAGTTTATTTAGAAATGTATAGAGACTTTCCATTGTTTTTAGATTTAAATATTATTACCGAACTACTAGAATAAATTAACTTGAAAAATCAACGAAATCAAATTACGTATTTTTTGGTAATAAAAATTGAACCATTAATTATTACCTACTGAAATATTTCGACTTTTTTTTTTGCTAACAATAAGTATTTTTAACAGTATTTGTGCAATTCAAATATCATAATTTTTTGAAACAAACTAATATCATCCATCCATATACATTAGAATACAAATTAATGTTTAATTCTGATTTATATAAACATATTTAAGAGAAACCAAACAACAAATATCACGGTTTATCATGAAATATAGGTAGGCGTCTGAATTTAACACTGAATTATGTTTATTAGTAATTAGAAGGAATGTTAATTATATCCCAGATGAGCAAATGTAAGTTATGATCTATGTATATTTTTTAATTATAATTTATTGGTATTCTAATCAACTGTAAATTGTAATAGATAAATAATAAAGATATTTTACAATTATTTTCTATTTATGTAGGCACTTTATTATGCAATGTAGATTAATTATGTGTTATTTTAAAATAAAAAATTTCAATTAATTTCCTAAAACAGTTTTATTTTAATATAGTAGATATGTGTTATTTAATGGCGTCAAAATGGTTTTAAATTCATGGATATATTAATTTAGTATTATAAATAGTAAATACAATTACTTAAACTATCAGTAAGAAAGTGAGCATCCTTAGTATTTTAAGTAATTTTAATGTCCTTAGATAAACGTGATTATATTTTTAGTGACTTGTTATTGCTGTAATGAAACTGACAATTTTTAATATTGTTTAAGCCAATTAATAATGAAAAATATTACTTCTTTTGTACAAGTATATAATAATAATATACTACATATAAATTTGCTATTTATTTAAAAACGCGTTTTAAAAATGCTATTATTCAAGAGTAAATTACAAAGAAGACAAAATTAAAAGAAAAGAAATTTATGATAAACCAATTTATTTCTCACTTTGTACAAAATAGTGTTATTATCAATATTATAGATTTATAGTTAGTTTGCTGTTTCGTGAGCATAGATGAATGATATTTGTGTTGAATTATATTTGAATACAAATTTTATTATGTACATTATTTCTTGGTGTAATATAAGCAATATAAAAATAAATAAATAAAATATGAAATTTATGTAAATAATAAATAGCCTTAACATAAATTAAAAATATAATATTTTATCTTCAATTTCGAAAGATTTAATGTAAAAGTGAGAATAAAAATATATCAATATAGATAAATAAATAATTTATTTATAATATTATAATACATACGCAATATAATATAACCATTGTATATTCTATATTTCTAAATAATATAAATATATTTAACAACATTTTCGCCTTTAGTTGATATATATAATTATTATTTTACTCCTTAATTAAAAAATAATTATCTACGTATTTAAAAAAACCAATAAGCCAGTGTTTAATTTCTCTCTTACTCAGAATGCATTTTTAAAATTTCATATTATATTTTATTTTTTTCAAAACCTTTTGAAATATACATAATTTGTTAAATTTAATATATTGTCATTATTATAACTTCCGCTATCTTTTAATATAATAGGTATCTCGTGTATATATTTTTTTCTCATTTTTAATACATTTTTTAACAACAATCAATTGAGTTCTTAAAATATATCATTTTTTTTTTTAATTGATGTCAATCACATATTAAAATGTTATTTTTACAATATTTTTTTCCTACAGTACTGTCGTAGGTTCCTTAAAAATGACAATAATTTACTATTACGTGATTTAAAATGCTGTTCACTATTAGAATCGTACAAAAATTGGTCAGTACTAACAATATTTAATAAGACCATACAAATGTATATTTATACAAACATCTTGGTATGTGGTGTGTGCCTTAAATGACTTCACTTAATTTGACTCAAATGTTCTTTGTTTTAGATGATAGAAATTAATTAGATGTTAAGATATTTTAGTGAATATATTGAGGGAAATAAAGCATTATAATGATATGAAAATCTAAATCCATGGTTGTTTGTAGATTTACAATTTACTAGTAAATATAAACAACTTTTTGTAGTATGAAATTAGCTATTAAAAATATTCGTTTTAAGTCTCATAATTTTATAGAAATATCTCAAATAAATAAATGATATGTTATAACTACACAAAATGCGTGCAATTATTTTTTTTTCCTACCACCAAGCTTGAAAATAAAAAAAATTGTATAAAGTATTTATCAAATATTCATTTAGGTAAGTTCAAATCTAATTGAGGTTTGGAAAGATATATGTATTTTCATTTGTCAATACATTTATATGAAATTAAGTCAGTCATTGGTCTTTCATATATGGTTGGAGTAAAAATGTCTGCAATGATTAGAAATATATTTTCGTAGAATTCGTTTTATTTAGTCACTGCATATCAGTAACTTTTATCTCAAGAAGATCGAAAAAATATAAACATTTTGGATTCAGTTAGCGGCATTTTCGATAGATTTATTGATGGTACTAAAAATTATTGTAGTTTAAATGCAAAACCAATTATTAATGAAATTTAAGATAATGTTTGTGTATATTATGATTATCAACAGTGTATGCCAAACAAACCTGCTATATATGGTATTAAAATACATTAATTAGTTGATTCTAAAATATGACGCACAATATAAGTTCATTTCAAATTTAATACGAAATAATAAAATTTATACCCACCTTAAGATAGTTTAATCCAATATAGGTCATTCCAATAATAATAAATATTGAGATTTTATAAGATTAATTGAATTATAAATCTAATATTTATAATCAAAAGTATAATTTTGTTAAGTAGAACTATGATAAACTATAATTTTATAAGTTTAATTTAATAAGTACGATTTATAAAAACCTCAAATTATTATTACACTTCAAATTTAAGTATTCGAAAATTTATTCACTTTGGCCTTTAACGTTACATGAATTTTTATTATTTATTTGTAATTATAAAAAAATAAATAAAATATTATTACTTACTTGAAAAAATTCATAGTAATTTTAAAAATAATGTGAAATAATTAAAAATAAAATTTACGATGAACTAGAATATTTATGCAACGTTTTTCTTTCGACAAATTAGATTTTGTTATTTTATCTTCATTAAAAAAGAAGAATAATAAAAATATATACTTGGAATTTTCACCTAATCACTATTGACTTATAAGTAAATAATAATATTATATGATATAAAAGTAAGTACTATAAAAATTGACAATCTCAATTTATCATAATCCAAAAATAAAAAAATAAAATTACTAATAGTAATTTAAATAACTTTTAAATTATTCTTAGAAATATAATGTCGACTTCGCTTCCGTCTGAATTTATTGAATTAAAATTGAACTCATTAATTTCATTGATATACTTAATGACGATATCAACTAGAAACCAACTATACAGAAGAGCGAATATTTCGGTTTTTAAAATTTAAAATTAGATATTAAATTCATATGACGTTATATATCATGTATATATAGTATGTGTGTATCGTTTGTACAAACATTGGTCGTGATAGATATAATATTATTATTATGATTATTATAGAGGTGCATAATTATGTTTTTGGATATTACATAACGCTATGGTTTTATTTTCGAGACTCGGAGCATATATTGTATGGTGTTATGTTTGGTGAAAAATACATTATATACGTATTTATTGTAACGCGCATTGCACAATATTATGGCGCTTAAGGCTGCTGGTATTTGAGTACACAATCGCTAGACTGCACTCGCGTCAACATTATTATTACAGCGAAAACCGCTATGATGTTATTTTATTAAAATGGTGATAAAATAATAACCGTTATTGAGTTGCCACGTATATAGTTTTGTATGTTCGAAAATCTGTGGTAAACTGTAATGAAATATAACAATTGTATTATCGCATCACAGTTTTATTGAGATTTTTCTGATGAGAAAAATTGTATTTATTTTTAAAAAAAATGTTGGTGAACTGATAAGGAAATCCCGTTTATTTTCCATTCT